TTTCATTCAATGTTCATGACTACATTAGCATGACGCATCATACAATCATTCTCAAAATCATTCCGAGATTCATTACACAACATCATCACACATCAAAGTGACTTGCATTGCATCACGATCATTTCCTAAAATTCCTAAAATGTCTTTCTAAACGTACATGAAAACTTTTCATGGGAAATACGTTTACGCATTTACCACAAGTTATCTTGATCTTTATCGCTTGCATTTTCTCATTGCTTGACTTGATTCCTATCACGAGTAATTTGAGTACATCGTTAAAAATTGTTGGCTTGAGCTTTATCGCTAACATTTTTTCATTGCTTGATTTGATTCCTATCACAAGCAATATGAGTACGTTATCATTAAACGAATTTTTTTCTTGACTTTTTTTTGTTACCATTTTCTCATTGTTAGATTTGATTCCTATGACAAATAATTTGAGTTCAACGACTTTTACAATATTGTTAGCTTGATGTTTATCGCTGACATTTTCTCATTGTTTGATATGATTCCTATCACAAAAAATTTGAGTACAATATCCTTTACAAAATCGTTAGCTTGATCTTTATCGCTAACGTTTTTCTCATTGTTTGATTTGATTTCTATCACAAACAATATGAGTACAATATCCTTTACAAAATCGTTAGTTTAATCTTTATCGATGACACTTTTCTCATTGTTCTATTTGATTTCTATCATTGACAATTTGAGTAAATCGTTCGTACAAAATTGTTAGTTTGATCTTTATCACTAACATCTTTCTCATTGTTTGAATTGATTTCTATCACAAATAATTTGAGTACAATATTTTTACAAGATTGTTAGCTTGCTCTTTATCGCTGACATTTTCTCATTGTTTGATTTGATTCCTATCACGAACAATTTGAGTACAATATCCTTTACAAAATCGTTAGCTTAATCTTTATCGATGACACTTTTCTCATTGTTCTATTTGATTTCTATCATAGACAATTTGAGTAAATCGTTCGTACACAATTGTTAGTTTGATCTTTATCACTAACATCTTTCTCATTGTTTGAATTGATTTCTATCACAAACAATTTGATTACAATATCCTTTACAAAATTGTTAGCTTGATCTTTATCGCTGACACTTTTCTCATTGTTCTATTTGATTTCTATCACAGATAATTTGAGTAAATCGTCCTTACAAAATTGTTAGCTTGATCTTTATCACTAACATCTTCCTCATTGTTTGAATTGATTTCTATCACAAACAATATGAGTATATCGTTGTTACAAAATGATTAGTTTGATTTCATCGCTAACATGTTTTAAATTGATCGTTTTGTTTCTATCAGGAACAACTTGAGTATATCGTTGTTAGTTGTTACCAAATGGTCAGTTTGATTTTTATCCATGCCATTTTCATATACAAATTGGTTACCATCATCTTAACAATCTGAATACCTCGTTGCTACCAAATATGATTTAAATTTCTACGTCTAAGATTTTCACAAAAAAATGTGGTGTCTTTATAGAAACTTTGTATAACTCTTTATACAAAGAGATATACAAAGGGGGGCAACTGTAGACACCACATTTTGTTTGGGACCATCGTTCTACTGAAAAAATCTTATTGTAGCATCGCGCTACAATTATATGTAAAAAGGAAGCTTTGAATTATTTGGTTGATACAAACAGTGGCAAGTCAATACGAACCAATGATTACCAATTTTGCTCTTACATGATTCAAGGATCAACTCAAATAAACATAGGAAAAGCACTAGTTTTGACGTTTGGAATTTAGCCTAATTAAAAGGCTCAATTTGGATACGGATTACTATATGTGGGGAATGAATCAATAAAGATAAAAATATATGTTACTTTTAGATTTCTTACATTGTAAGTTGCATAGAGAGTTATAAAGATTCTACCAAAAAAATAGAATTACATTGATTATGAAAGAAAGACAACCGTACACATATATATATACAATTAAAAGTGAATATTATGAACAAATTGGGGCTCTGCACACAAGTCAGGTCTGCAGGCCCAATTTTTCTTGAAGTCATTGGCCTCCTTGGCTCCTCCGGTCCAAATCAGATCTGCAAAGGAATAAAGAAAGAAACAATCAGCCCAACACCAAAATATGTCAAGCCTAGTTCAAGCCCAGACGAATTGAAAACATGCCCAACTCATCCCAACCTTATCCAAACCAGTCCCAGCCCACCTTATCCACAACCAACCTCAGAATGGTCAAGCTTTCCAAAGTCGGAATTAAAAAACTGCTTAAATCAGAGAGCAACACGCAACAGACGTTCTTGCTATAACTAGTGATTTTCGGTTCTTTGCTTGAAAACAAAAATAAAAGAGGGGGCGGGAGATCATTTCCTTCACAACTTCTTGGTGAGAATAGAAAGAAATTTTCATATTTCTGGCTAGAAGACTGGCGAAAATAAGAAGCAAGTGACGGGATCTGAGGTCTAGTGAAGTACAAAAGCAGTGAAGTAAGGCGCTTTTATCCGACGGTGTAACCAGATTTGCACTTGCATTCTCAATTTCGTTTATGTTGATAGCATCTCATTTTTTTCAAAGCTAGTTCTCAGTTACTAGCTCGTTATATTTTCCGTCTTCTTATCAATCTTTGTAGAATCACTTAATTTACATATAAGCACATATTGTTACGTGTATTCATCTAGCTAGTTGTACCAATTTGTTTCCACTTCAGTTCCTCGTTCTTTTAAGCACGTTTAATATGCATACTACTGTTCTTTTAAGTTGATTAGCTTCCGTTAAAATTCAACCAATTTCCCGCATAGATATATCATTAGATCTACCATAAACGCAATAAATTTTAGATATTCAAAACTCACAAATCAACCATAATCTAATAAAAATCGCAAGCAGTGGCGGCGGTTTATAGGAGCTAAAGTAAAATTCATACAAACACCATGAACACAATAAATTTCAGACTTACAAACTCCACGACATAGTTCGGCAAAATCACAAGCAATAGTAGTGATTTACAGTCCAATAGTCTAGCAAAAATTACGAGCGGTGGCAGTGATTTATAATCAGTAAAATTAACAATTTTATAGCATATTAAATACTTTGCTACTACGAGAAAATTATCCTTTACTTTTTTTAGCAACTTCAAGCATATCTGGAGCTAAATCCAAAACCATAGATCAAATCCATCAAACACCAAATATTCCAAAACACATACACAACCATATTTTCCAGTATTAAGGTTCGCAAATAATTTTATCTATAGCCCTATAATACAGCCATTTTTTTTAGTTTAAATTTTTTTTAGAATTATAGAAGACCTCACCTAGACCAGTCTGCTCCTAAACCTGTAAAAAGTCAGGATAAAAAATCACAATCCTTCAAATTAAAAACACGAAAAACAAACTTACACAAGTCGCCTCTGAGTCTCTGGCGATGGATTTTTCGCCACTGCCCGCGAAAAACACCTTCGTCATCGATGAACCTCCCATCCCACGCAACAAATCCGGAACCAAGTAGAATAACCCAAATCAAAATACAAAAAGAAACAATATCAGAACCTAGTTTTTTTAAACCAAACAAAAAAAAACTACATGCAATCCAAGATCTAACCGAGGTCAAAATCGTACTTGGTCTGGTTGAAACCCGAGCATTTTTTTCGGGATTCAGCGACGGTGAGTCTTCTGCCTCCACTGCCGCCGGCGGGGACCGGATTCAACGGCGAGCCTTTTTATTCTCCTCGAACAAGACCAAATCAAAACCCAGATTAGAATCTTAAGTAGCATAAATGAAAAGCCCTAAATTCAACATGCAAGCCAGGATCATACCTGGTTCGCCGTATTTTTGGTCAATTGAGGAGTTCGAGTCGCCTTCGTGTCCGTCAATCTAAGAGAAGAAGAGGGAAGAATGAGACGATTTCATTTTGGGAGCGCGGACGATCTCTAGATGGCAAACCACTGGAGGGAGAAAGGTTCCGTTTTTTTGCATCGTGTTTGGTTCTTCGTGTGTTGTTCGATTTTTTGTTCCAAGGAGATGAAGAAGAAAAAACGATAGAGAGAAGAGAGAAGAGTGGTCGGAGAGCGGATCGAGTGACTGGGGGGTGCTTAGTCACTTGACTAAGCCCCTCCCAGCCATTAGATCTGGATATAGCAATCTGATGGTTAAAAAGTGGAAAGGGCTATTTAATTAATGATAGGGGTAGTTTGGGTATTATGGAAAATTACGAAATATACAAACCGGACTTACAATCAGTACAAACCATACTAACATACGAACAGTACAAACTAGAGCGACAAAACATACAAACAGATTTACAAACATATGAACTGTATAAAAAATACAAACTAGACCGACAAACAATACAAACCATACAAAAAGAAAAAACAACCAGGTTGACTTTGGAGACTCCATCTCTATATAGAGGGGCTCCTTCCCAAAGTCAGCCCGGTGTTTTTTAGACATACAAACATGGTGGACAAAAATGACAAACTAGACCAAAAATTCATACAAACTGGAAAAACACCCGGGTTGACTTTGGAGGCTTCATCCCTATATAGAGGGGCTCCTTCCCAAAGTCAACCCGGGTGTTTTTTAGACATACAAACATTACGAACATGGTGGACAAAAATGACAAACTAGACCGACAATCCATACGAACTGGAAAAAACACCCGGGTTGACTTTGGAGGCTCCATCCAAAAGTCAACCAGGTTGTTTTTTAGACATAAAAACATTACAAACATGGTTGACAAAAATGATAAACATGGTGAACAAAAATAACAAAGTTTACAAAATTACAAAATAAACCAACAAACATTATAAAATAACAAAGCGTACAAACATTACAAAATAAACCGACAAACAGTACAAAGCATACTAACAATACAAAATGTCACTAAAAATGACAAACAAGAATTATAAACAATACAAACCGAATCTATACAAACATTACAAAATAGGTCACCAAACATCACAAATCCAACATTGTCATCGGAAAGTCTCCTCCGATCGCCGGAAAAATTTCCTCCGGTCAGTAGAAATCTCTCTCTCTCTCTCTCTCTCTCTCTCTGAATCCAAAGACGAAACTGTCGATGACCGAGAGGGAAATGGACACGCCGAAGAGCTCGACGTCGCCGCTGTGCCCGACGAACATGACCGTGACGGAGTTGAGCCTGAACTGGCACTCCGTGTTGAAGGCAATCGGCTCGGCAATCTTCCACGGCTTTTGCGTCTCCGTCCAAAACACCAACTGCAGCTTCGGCCAAGTCTTGACCGCGGCGTAGTCGCCATCCTCGCCGGCGAGCAGCGGCGCCTCCATGACGGGAGCGGTGGGATAGCTAGAAAAGGTAAGAAGAGGCTGAAGTACTGCCGGCGTGAGCGAGAAAGGGTCGGGGAAGAATCGCGGCGCGAGGGAAATTTTTTGGCTGAAGTGGGATTCTTCGCCGGCAAATTAGATTAATTAATAATTGATAATTAATAAAGTTTGCAATTACTATATTACCCTTCATTAAAATGAATTAATCTGAGCCATTAGATTTTAATGAGGTGGAAGGGCTGAGATTCATTTAGCCATGTGACTAAGGAGACCCCCCTTAGTCACCTGATCTTATCCCAGAGTGGTCGCCGTCTGCGATTTTTGAAAGAGAGGCGAGAGTGAACGAGATAGAGAGGGGAAGGCGGCCGCTCGGCCTAAGTTATAATCGATTAGGGTTTTCTTATAGTAGTATATATACCTCACCTTTCAATATGACTAGAATGCCCCTAGGGTTTCCAAATATTTTCTGCACCTGCCACCGCTTTTTGGCTCATTTACAGAATTGCCCTTACTTTGACAATGTTTTAAAACAAAAGCCGAGAAAACATTTCACCGGGCTTCAAACTCGATTCCTTAAACACTTAAGAGTTATTAAACCGTCTCTTAAGCCAACTGGGCTACGCAGGGAACATCTATCCAATAGATTTATCCATATATTTTTGAGTTATAGGTATAATATGCCCCTCTACTATGTCGTTTTATCAACCATGCCCCTCTACTATTTTTTACATCAAACATGCCCTTGTACTTTAGAAAAATTATCAAACATGCCCTTCTGTTAATATTTTCATCCAAAAACAGTCAATCATGGTCGTACCTTGGTGTGGGCGACACAAATGTCTAAAATATCCTTGGTAATTTCACTTTAAAATTTTTTGGGTTCTTTTGTAGAGCCAAATACCTCTAATAATTTCACTTTGACGAGACCTAGAAAAATAAAATGGGGAACAAAACTGACATTTCGCTCTTATTTGCCAATGTCGGGGCATCTACATCTCAGTTCAACCATGGTTGGCGATTTTTTTAATGGAAATTTTAACAGAAGGGCATGTTTGATCATTTTTACAAAGTACAAGGGCATGTTTGATATAAAAAATAGTAGAGGGGCATGTTTGATAAAACTACATAGTAGAGGAGCATATTATACCTATAACCCTATATTTTTATACTTTCGTTTCTAATGTCCTTATATGAAATTCACAACAATCTCTAAGTTAGGTCAATTCCATCAATATCAAATACGTTAAATATTTCTTCGTATTTCAAAATTAAACAAAATCTTTTATTTGAGAACCACGACCAGTGGAACGTGGTATAAAGTCATATTAAAATTACCAAAATCTAACGAACTACGTGGAATTTGATCTCGTCTAACGGGTACGTAGACAACCGATAAGGTTCGAGTCCAACCAACTAATTAATTTTATATTCAATTTTTACGCCAGTGGGTGTATAATTAAATTACAAATAATATGATTTAAATTCTTTAGTGGTCCGGTAAGGCCCTAAAAATACCTAATCATAAACTAATACGTCAATGGACGTTTAGTTAAATTATACCTAATGAAATAGCAATATAGTAATGGTTAAGTGGGACCCAAGAAAATACATAAGTACTAAAATATAACCAACTAATATAAAACTTATCAACTTATAATACCAATTTAGGGCATTGTGGGGGTATTGCTTAAATTATACCTAAGGTTAGAGCCGCCCGAAGAGTGTTCGATCAACTCCAAGTAAGATCGATGGCGACTCCAAAAAGGGAACACGACCACGACCCCGGAGGGACGGTTGCGACAACCATGCTCATGATTGCAAATCCGAGGCATGCATTATAGGCTGTCACTAGGCCCTCTCGGTTTGGCAACCAATGGTTGACTTACTCCCTCACTCAACCCAAGGGTTGGACGGCTTAATCGCGCATAACCAAATTGCTTAATCCAATATTGAGGTTTGCACTAAATGAACCTAGTTAGAATACTTAAAAAGCCATAGGGATACCAAGTCAATTGAGACTCCCTTGAGAGGGGGGTCTCCCTCTCTAGACTAGGTTAAGTGACTAATTAGATTGCTAAGCAATTAAGCATAGACATGCACAAGCCTTAGGTTGCTAAGCATAGACATGCACAAACCTAAGGATGCTAAGCACAAACATGCACAATCAAGATGAATAATACCTCAAACATTTGAATTAAACAATACCCAATGACAATCATTCAATTCACATAAAAGAAAACTACATGATAGAGTTAGATTTTCACAACACCTAAGTGAAAAGAATTCTACTCCATGCTAGAGATGGGAGAAACACAAGGAGAAGGGGTAGAAACCATCTTGGAGGAGGCTTTCAATCTCCTTGGCCCTTGTGTTGAGGTCTTAGTCACGGGTTCAGATGACTGGCAATTGTCTTGGACATGGGAAAAAGGCTTTTTGGGTGGTGGCAATCATGACGTGAGGTTCTACATCTTCAACCTAAACCCGAAGGTTCTATGGTTTTGACTAAAACCCTTCTCTTCAACCCAAGGCCACTAGCATCGGCCAAAATCCTTATCTCTCGTTTCCAAACTATCACCCATCGTGAACTACATTGAAGCGCTCTTCCTCGGTCTACTCTTGCTAGCACATTAAGGTTTGGTAGTGAAGGAATTCTAAAACAATGTGGGGGTTTCAATGGCTTGGGTGCCAAGAAACCTGATAAGCCGTTGATTGCACATGTTTTTACCCCTATTCTGGAGCCGTTTGAGATGGTAATTCTCATGTTTTAGGCCGATTTCACGCTAGGTTGTGTTTGTTTGTGATATTTCAGGTCCTAGCAAGTGAATGAAGGTTTAGGAGCGAGTTCGGGGTCGATTGGACGAAGATCGGGCGCAAGGCAAGTCACAAAGGAAGCCATACGGGCACACTCAAAACTCACACGGCCGTGCAAGTGACCAATTTGGCCGTGTGGGATTGTGCGAGCCTTCACACGGGCACAAGTAATTCCCACACGGCCGTGTGAAGTTGTAGTTTGGCCATGTGGAATTCTGCGAGGCTTCACACGGCCAGGCTGGGTGAGCTACACGGCCGTGTGGGAAGCCTGAAACCCAATTACTCGGAACGCGGCGTTTTGACTTCACACGGGCAACTGGATATGCCACACGGCCGTGTGAGCCTGCCCGTGTGAGCACGAAGCTCCTGACTTAAAAACGACCCTCTAAGTCACAAGGCTCAAAGGGGTTGACTAGTGGATAACACATTTCGGGACAATCAACATTGGGCGTGGACTAATCCTATGCCTCCATCATACTCACTAGTGATAACTGTGATGTTACTCGCCATGGTAAGAGGAATCTAAGCACACAAGAAGAAAACGATCGGCTCAAAGCTCACATGGCTACTTAGTCACCCAAACATCTATTCCAATTCACAAACACAATGCATGGCAATTGTGATCAACAAGTAATCGAGTCAAGACATCCATTCATTTATGCACACTTGAGAACTAAACTTTTGCACTATCCTAATGAACCTCTCAGTCATCATCATAGGATATACTCGATCACATGCAACAATTCAAGATCAATGCCAATAAACAGGAGAATTTCCCACACACCAGCCACTTTGATCATGCAAACATTGCTCCAAGCATCCATCACACTCACACAAGCATAATAGTAAACTACCCTCCCACACTTAAACTCGACATTGCCCTCACTGGCGTAATTAAGAAAGGGGTAGAATGATGTTACAGCTTGCTTGGTGAGTGAAAGTTGGAATCGAATCCAGGGTAAGATATTTTGAGCTTCAAGGAGAGACAAAAAAACACGCACACAAGCACAATACGACTCGCTCGAGGCGAGGTTATTACAAACACAATACGATAGTAGTGGTTTATGTCACACACACACACACACAAAATGAAGAAAAATAACAAAAACAAAAAACAAGTTCAAGGTTACAAGTGGAGAAGTGGGGCGAAAGGATTCGGCTCTGCCACATGTCTCACTCGTCGGCTAATCTATGGTGGAAGGACCCTCTCCATTATCTGGGAGGATGCCCTAGCGTCGAGCAATAAGCTCGAGGATGTCAGTCTGCCGGTGCAGGCGGGAAGAGAATCCCACGAAGCTCGTCTCAAGGCGATCCACCCTCTGGACGAGGGGGTCACCTTCTGCTGGTAGTGGTGGTTGTGCTGGGCGCTGGAACGCTAGACGCCGTCGGCGGCCGGGTGCTCGAGCAGGTGGCTGCTCTGCTGGTGGTAGGAACTCGGGGTCAGGCTCTACTGGAAAAAAGTTGGCCCAAATCTCCCCAAAATTTCAGTGCATACCGGTTTTGATGAGGGGGGAATGGGTATGACGGTTGTTTTGGATTTTGATCACCGAAAATGGGGGGAAATAGAAAAACGATGGAGTTTCGTGTTTTTCCGGCGAGATTTGGTCGGGAAGTGAAGTATCGCCGTTCACGCCCCTTTTCTTGGCACAGCTCGGAGTTCATGGACGCGTTTCCTTGTTCACGATCTTAGTGACCATGAACACTCAAAGGCGTCCTTGAACTAGGGTTGGTCGACAGGTGGTGAACATGCATAAGCGTCCAGTTCACGGACGCGTTTGCCTGTTCACGGTCTTGTAAGCCCGTGAACTCAGTAATCCGTCCGTGAACATTAGAGAAAACAGGACACTTCTGAAAAAAAATTGACTCAACCTATTCCAACGTGCCTCCTAATTGATCACAACACAACCGTAAATCGCAAAACCACAAAACTTGGCACGGGGACACAACTTGAACTCTTGAACTCTTGACTTGACACAAAACGAAAATAAGGAAAAGGAAAAAAAAACCTCTATTGGGTTGCCTCCCAACAAGCGCTTATTTATCGTCATTAGCTTGACGGTTGGGGATCGATCATGACTTGGATCGTGATGCCTCTAAGAAAGGATCCACCACACTCTCAGGGCGAGGCTTGTAGCCTCCCGTCTTAGGCTCTATGAGTTGGTCAACTTCGCTTTGTCCTTATCCTTCCTTCG